CAAGACCATAGTAAATCTTGGATCTGCATTATTGATGAGTTTTTAGTCCAAGATTACGCCGTTACTTTACGATACTTAAGCTGGACATTAGAATCTTATTTCCCTAACTACAAATTAACAGCTGTTTAATTATGGTTTAGGAACATGCAAATGAATTTTGATTTTTTAATTGATATGTTGTTCCACCACTCCTTTGAAGTTTTACTAAAGGGAGAGGCCTGATATAGAGAGCTAGACATTCAAGGTATGTGGGCCTTAACCTCAAACATCTACTGAATGATTTACGTTTCATTGCCGACTGACATAATAATGTAACCATACACCATGCGTGACTGCATAATATCAATTAACTTTTCAGTGATTTAGAAATCATAAAACAAATGTGCCATTGAGGGAATCTGAACATGCAAAGTAGGTCTACAACCCGAGACACTATCACCAGCCAAAAGGATGATATCAGTTAATGTTCTTGTATAAAGTAAATTATTTATTTGAGATTCTAGATTGTAAAAGAACAGATATATAGACATTTAGGTTGCACAGAATGGGATTATTTGTGGTTCGAGTACAGTTTGTTGTGATGCTAATGGCGTTCAGGATGTTATGGAAGACATCATATGCAAGCGGTAAGTGCACGTTTGACAGAAATTATAATACTGTACAATCGTTTAATCGGTTCCCCAAGGATATTTTATTCGCATCAAAAATTAAGCTTGAATACRTAGAAATYCAKTAAATCTTTAGACTTTGCTGCAACATTAAAAAAAGTATTGCACGGTGCATCTTTTTTGCTCAGCGTTTGATTTGTGAATGTCACGAAAAAAGTTGTACCTTTTCTTGCATGCGAAAAAAAGACATAAAAATGAGTGTTATTTGTTCTTATCTGCTTGCAATACTTGTAGAATTTAGTGTACAAATAAATTATATATATATTTCCAGACTGTTCCTTCTATACTCTTCACGACATAGCCACGAATTGGCGAACAGCCCGATTACAATGTCAAGCAAATGGAGGCGATTTATTGTCTATGGAAACAGTTAAAGAATACCAATTCATCAATAASACAATACAAAGTCAAAATAAAGGAAAWAATGAATGGCATATTGGTTTAACAAAAACTAGAACGGGATCTTGGAAGTGGATTAGTGGTTATAGCTTGACTATTGATAAATGGCAGCCAAACGAACCAAGCGGAGACAGCCATGGATATTGCGTTATTATGGCGAAAAACTGGCCACCGGGAACTCATGGACTATTCAACGATCTTAACTGTAATATTTACAGAATGTTTATATGCGAATACAAAAACGGTGAGTTGGTTGGCAGTGTAGATTACTAATATTATAGATTTTTATTCTTTGAAAGATGATTTTTCACTGATGACATATGACAGTTAGCCTCCTTCGCAGCCGTTCTTAGGGTCGTCACGCAACGTTTCCTGCGTGACGACCCTAAGAACGGCTGCGAAGGAGGCTATATGACAGTTGTCCTGAATCGGTTTTGCTATATCTTAGTCTGTTTATCTTTTTAGAATATTCGAGATGTTTCTTACTGTAATTCCTTGTTGATTCAGATCCACTATGATTCTTCGCATTTTAATGGCATACTTAAGTAAACTTTGGAAATTGTAAGACTAGATATATTGTTAGTTCTGTCTCAGACTCCACATCATCACAGCTTATCTCTATTTTTGGAAACTAATCTCTGAACATTGTGGCTCAAGTGCAACGTTAATGCCTACCGATTTAATGGTTATAATGATCGTTCTGAGAGGCACACTAGCTGTGAAACATAACTTTATTCAGTGATTACAGTTTTAAAAAAGATATTTTAATAGAGCGAACGTTTTGCCAAGAGGGAAGAAGCAAAGACAATATAGGGCAACCTTGAGTACTCAACCTATAGTTGCCATAGACGGGTATTGAACAACGACTCATTAAGACATAATTTGTTGACTTGTTTTTCAACAGACGTCAACCATACGCAAGGTGTTTTAAAATTCTGTCCAACTGTAACAACAACCCAACGACCTACTGTGACCCGCTCTCGTCGCACCAACATCAAAACTACTATGTCTAATGAGTTGACCTCGCTATCTATGTCACACGCTGGTACGTATATTTGCTTATAGATGTCCTATCAGGTTGGCATATACGTATACAAGACGACCATTAGCAAAGGAGGACCGGTCTTGCCTGTAGGTCCTGCCATTAAAAATGTTTGCAATATTTAACCTTGTTAGCCGGTTAACAACCATATATGTTATTGGGATCAGGTTTTATTCGTAAACGAATCAATTGACTGAGTCAATTTGCGCACAGGAAATATTAAGTTAAGTTAGATAAACTTTTATGATACAATCGACCTTTACTGCTTTTTTTTTTCGCCCTCTCCAGATCCACCGGCCACTCCTGAGCCCTTAACGGAATGGACTTCAAGAAATGCATCAATACGTAAGTAAACATGTGCACAATCCAGTCGTCGTGGAAATCATGTTCAATTTCACGCAAAATGAAAACTATCAAGCCTAATTGAGCATTCCATCTAAAACATTTTTGTAATGGACCCAAGGCGATGCCCCGGGTCGAAGACGATCCTTTTCTTAAGCAAACATGCGATGGGGGCCGCGTGATAAAAAGCCCACTTGACTTTTTATTTCCACCCTCCCTTTTTTGTTATATAAAATATTGTTGCATGGACTGATCAAGTTAATGTTGTCCCCTGTGAAGAACTGTCTGTCTCATAAGCGTCTGACTTTAAGGTACTGTCGATGCAGTTCTGTACCGCGAAGAAGTTACCAGAGTCACCACAAACCGTATAGCACTTGTTTATTGTGTAGTAATGTAGTGTATTCGATCTAAAACATGCAGATCACATAGCTTAATATTTACGATTACAATCGTGTATAATGAATCATAAAAATCACACAACTTACTTCTGTGGCGACTATATAAAGACATACTTCTTACACTTCCATAAAATTCCAATCATGTAAAGTACAGGTTAGCAATAACGTCTTGATAGTCCAGGTTAGCAAAATACGTGTCATACATTTGTGAAACCAAAAAAACTGTGACTTGATACTCATTTACATAAATCAATGTTATCATAACACGTGATAAAAGTCCACGTGACATAAGTCACACAATCAATGTTCAATGTTCATTAATTAGCATAAATTTAATCTAAACAAGTTCAGAGGAGCAATCTGTAGGAGATTCAGTAGAAGAAGTTTAGCATACTTCAGGGTGCGAATCGACCCTGGCCAATTGATATAGGAAAGCGAATCAAAAGTAGACGAAGAAATCTGATAGAACCCAATAATGATTTTAAGTCTTGCAAGAAAAATGTCAGTGAGTGTACGACTTGACTGAACTGCTTGCTTCTTTTTTCCCCATAAGATGAACAGGATGAAGAAGACAACCACAAGAATTAAGAAGACCATCTGTGCGATGATCCAAGGAAGAGAAGAGTACTTCTGACATTTTGCAATCATGTTATAGTATCCTGTATCACATACTGCACACAGAGGTCCTGTATAACCGTCACCGCATTTTGAGAGATATCCACCCAGACACGATCCCTCGATRRGGCAGGCATGGGTACTWGGTATTGAGTGCTGAAATTTTCGAATCTTATAACTTGMACTGGAAATGCTCAGATCTTTTGTGAAGATTTCATAGTCTTTCATATTTCCTTTGCTTTCCCAAAGCCAGTAGAAACCTAAATCTAGGGTGATGCTTTCGTTYGAGCATWTATATCCCTTAGTGCAGATCGTACAAGGTCCAAATCGATCCAAACGATAGTAGCCGTCCATACATTTACATGCACGGAATTTAGCAAAGTCTTTGGAGTAAGTGCCTAATGAAATAGTAAAAATTCTAGATTACATATTATGAATAATCGCAATTAAAATCGCGCAATCATTTGCAGCTATGCAAGAGATCAGATAATTTTGTAAACTTGGTAATTGAAGGTTTTTGAAGACTGTTACCTTGTGGACAAGTTTGGCAGTCTGATTCCGATTTTCCAGGAGCAAGCTCAGGCTTTACATAGGAACCAGGAGGACATTGTTTGCAACCATAGCCATAATGAAACTTGCCTGTATAACCTAGCTCATCTTGATAAAAGCCGCCTAAAGAATGAAGGTAACAAATCTAGGTAAATAAACTCATTTTAAAGAGTTTTTCACAATAAAGTTACCACTTAAATGTCATATTTAGAAGAAGGACTAAAGCTTAGTTCTCACTATTACTACTTGCGGTGCGAGCATAAATACAAGCACAAACCAACGCAAAAAATCTTTCTTTCTTGAGATTGCGTCAGTGGGTCTCTTCTTTTCATAGTAAACTTGAAGTTACGTCTGCTTGCGTCGATACTGACAACCATGTTTTTGTAATTGAGAGCCGCATCTTCCCATATATCGTTTTATTAGAGGATTTTTATTTAAAAAGTGTGGCAACGAACCTTAACGTTAAGCTTTTAAGCTCACTTTGAAGATATTGATTCTTAAGGCCTAGGGCAAACGTCGAACTTTCCATGCACCGAACTTAATTACATCAAAGAATGCCGCCTCATTATCACCTGAACTCATTGTTTTTAATGAGTTCTGTGCATGGAAAGTTTGACATTTGCCCTAGGCCTAAGAAATATTAAACGAGTTGACACTGATTGGAAATAATACTATATTCCAGGACGTTCCGGTTCATGTATAATACTATACCATTACGTTTGAGATACTATACTTTACCACATTTTAAATGTTGATTCTTGTCAATCCGATTTGGAAAATTCAATTACCTGGAGGACACGCGTAGCACTTTTTTTCGTTCTCTGCCTTGAAGCTTCCTCTCCTGCATGTCTTGCAGCTGGTTATAAAGTCAAACTCTTCGCAAATGTATCCAGCTGTGTCCATAAAATCGCTCGAAGGCATGAAAAGGTCGGTTAATACAATGCTTGCATCTGTGGTCTGAGGACTAAAAAAGAATTGGAATGATATATGACACGTGACCGTTAAGGGTAGTCCATGAATCACTATGAATTTTGGTCCTATCAGTTTAGTGTAAAAATAATTTGATTGCTGAATGCTGAATGAGTTTTAAGGCACATTTTGGCTTAAAATTTTAGCTTGTTCATGTTGCTTCAATCAACTGTAAAACAGTGATAGCAAGGTACTGGCATTTATAATGTCATTATCACGACACCGCTGCCAGAGAAGAATAAAACCACTTAGCGCAAATCAAGTGCCTCGCCATCCACACGTTATTGTCCTCACTTCAATTCCACAGTTCCCTATTCACTTTTATCATACTTCTGAAGAAGGCTATTAGCATAGCCGAAACGTCAAGTCATGTTTTCCTTGACGAGTATAATCCGTTAAGAATTTTTTTAATACGTTATCATTTTGCAAAAACCTCAAGAGTATTAACTTTTTTGAACTCTTTTGAATAGTCCATCACATTATTACATACACTAGATACGCAACTTGAGTCTTTGCTGGACAAATCTTAAGTGGAACTGCTATTTGCGTGTCGAACAGATTGCTAAAAGAGATACATGAAATAATATTGTCAATAATAATAATAAATAATAATGATAATAATAAACTACTTTATTGTTAAATTGCTAAAGAATATAATTCTACACAGTGTAAATGAAGAAGAAATATTTTTTTCTTTTAGAAAAATGATCGTGTGCTAGGTTACCCATAAAGTGATTAATTCAGTTTAAATGGTTACTGGCAGTATACGAGCAGTGTTATACTATTTTCTACCTTTATAGGGGTCAAATCGTCATAATCAGGAATATTGCAAGAATTGCGTAAAAAAGTTGGTTATTGTTGGTCGGACATTTTTTGCGGTGGCCAACATGAAATGTTGATCGTATGAATCTTTAATATGGTTCACAATATATTATATTTAAATTCTTACACAAATCTGAGGTTTTGTAGCCCGTGGAATGCTTCTTCTTCAATTACGTTGATTGGATTACCCGCTAAAGTTCTAAAGATATCAACATATCGAAATTGTTTTGAGGCATCTAATAAGTWTATCCACTAAAAACACAACAAAAATTTTTAGTAGTCTTTAAAGCATAAACAATTTTTGGATGAGGTTGAGCGTGACATATTGTAAACTATCAAGACCAAGGCCATCTTTTTTGTTATTTTCTTTACTCACATAAAAAGAATGGTATTGGTCCCTCCATTAGAGAACATGTAATTGGTTATATGAGTGAAGTTGTTTTTGTCTAGAAATCTAAAAAGTAAAAATCGCTTTAGAAAAAAAATGTTTTTAGTGTGTACAGTAACGTTAGCTTAATGTGCGAACAATCAATCAAAATCTAAATATTATTTTAAAATGATTTAAAAAAATGAATGCTAATGCATTATTTGGATGTTCAAGACTCGTCCTGCGAGTAGGAATAGGAACAGACTTATCCATGCAGAGTAGGGGGACTCGAACATGAAGCAGCCAGATTACATTATTAACTTACATAGCCAGATCATCTAGCATGATTCAGTATAACAGAAGGCCTAGTGTGAGGTTGGCGTGAGCTAACCTGGGTTTTACCCTTCTGAAAATCTAATTATCATCAACCGGCATCGTCATCATCATCATCCATCATCAACATTACCATTATCGTTATCATCATCATCAGGCATCAACATCATAATCAAGATTATTATCATCATGCATCATCAACATCATACATCATCACCATCACCATCAACATACATCATCATCCACATCATTATCAACATACATCATCATCACCCACATCATACATCATCACCATCATCATCAGCATACATCATATCATCATCAAAATACATCATCATCACTCACATCATACATCATCACCATCATCATAAACATACATCATCATTATCCACATTATACATCATCACAATCATCATCAACATACATCATCATCACCCACATCATACATCATCACCATCATCATCAACATACATCATCATCATCCACATCATTATCATCATCATTATTATTGATACTCCTTTTACTGCTTGCACCAGCGTTAAAAGTCTTTTGTTTCTGAAATTTATGTTTGACAGTTTATTAATCTTGTTGCTGGACAAAAACCTGTCAGAAAGGAAATATTAATTATTTTCGATTATCAAGTTCATCTATTGAATATATGCAATTCAATCCCTATTATTAGAGTCATTTTACTTGGCTCTTGGAAATAGTAAGCATAATACATAGTAATACTATATGACCATTGTTGTTTTTTTTATTTACTTTGACACCTTTGACAAATAGTCACTATTTGTACAACTTTAAAAACTCATGAATAATTAATAAGATTTTGGAGCGACCATACAATAAATACAAAAGCTCAATTATCTTGCAGATCGTGTTTGATTACGCATTAAAACCACTTGGGTACGCCTCGTGCTTTTGATGTGAGGTACGCTTGTAATTGAAGGTGGGAGGCTTATAAATAAAAGTGTGTATATGCTTTCGTACACCAGCTGGCTTTTTTGCCAACGACTGTTAAATGTTGCTTTGTAAATATTACAGTCGCTCAGCGGATTAGTTCGCACTACCCTGGGTGACTTTTACCAATATTATTTGTATTAATGATTTATTATATTTGTAATATATAGTGTTTTTTTCTCTGTGGTAAATAGACTCTATTACATAACCAGGGAGTTTATAACGTACCTAGATTTTTACGGCATGTATTTATTTTCATTATAAATACCTCTTAACTTAATAGAATAGAATAGAA